ATATATCATGTTTGTGCAGCCTCTTTGTTATCGCTTTCCTCTTTTTTTCTTTCCCTATTTCTATTGGTATTTCTCTATTGTTTTCTTGATGATAGACTCTTTTTGCTCATAGATTCTTATGTATTAACTACCGTGTGACACCTAATGAATCTGCATGACAAGATATGAATTGAATTTTACTATAATGGCCACATTTAATGTGGACACAAAATATCCCATATGTACTAGATGTACTAATCTTGTATATAATTTTAGCTTACACTAAATATGGCGGGATGGTGGTGTGACTTCAATACTAAAGTCGCGACTCTTGGCGACCTAGCATGACGTATAAAAGTCGATGGGGTTTTATGCATCCTTATTCGTCTTTGTTTTTGATATTTCTTTCGGTCGAACGACTTAAATTCTCTATATTAATTTCGATAAAAGTATCAATTATTTTGAATAACGAGTGGGACATCGCGAACGTACATTCGCAATGTCCCACTTATATAAATGGGTCATTCGAACAACGTTAAAGATTCCTTCGCCAACGTCAGTGCGGATGAACAATGGAATCACTATCGCACGAAGGTCTTCGTCTCGTTTTCCATCCTTGCGTATCTATCCATGGAACTTATTAAACACCTGCTTTTATATGCGGGTAGGATTATAGACTAGTAAGAACACTCCATCTGTGCTATTTCGAAGTTGTAGATTCTATGCATAAAAAAAATTAACGTAGAAAATGTGATGTCTCATGACATAAGTGTGAACGTAAAATAGTGAGAAATAGTTGAAATTATTGCCATATGGAAAAAAATCGATTGATCCGTAACGCGCCAGCTTTATCATCGATGATGTATAATTCACATATTCGACAATTTTGACATATTGGTGATGAGATTAATATTCGAGGTGCGATTTGTTTTTTTTTTATTCTAAAGAATGACATCTTATACTATTTTCTTCACGAGTTTCTCAAAAATACGAATATAATAGTGTTCATCACAAGTATCATTGATGCAAAAAAGGAGACATCGTTTTCTTATCGGTTAATCATGAATTAACATAAAATTGACTTTGTTGGACCATAGAACCGATGATGTTAATTTCTTATTATTAATACACCTACTCTCTCTCTCTCTC